CGACATTATATATATTAAATCAATAAAATAATCATGCAACTTATCTAATATGAAACTAAATAAAGTAATTTAATTATTAACAAGGAAATAGCTCCAACACAGGAAGTTAAAGCTTGGTCGCATTCTCTCTACTGTTATTCTGACATTTTACATTATTAAACAAAAGTGGTGATCCTAACTGACCTAAAACAAGGAATTCAATATCAGGAATTGAGTTCATATGTATTTCGCTATGGTGCCAAGAAGAAGGTTTCCCTTGAAACACCTGAATTGCTTTGTGTACGTGTTTAGATTTACACTTATCGTATATATTATACAGATTACATTTGATAAATGATGTGCCTTCCCTAAGCTGATGGAACAGCCAGTTTATCTCACATTGCTGTGTAATATCTTTTTTAGGCTTTTCCGTCCATCCTGTAACTCATGCCTTACTCCCCCCGTCCCAGATCGGTCGTTCCACAGAGAGCCCGATAGACTTTGTGGTTACAGACACGGTGCCTGGTGGTCAGCAGGGCCTCGGTGGGGATGGCCAGACCCAGTCGGTCCAGAGCACCATCTCGCGCTTCGCCTGCCGGATCATCTGCCAGCGGAACCCACCGTACACCGCATGCATCTACGCCGCCGGCTTTGACTCCTCCAAGAACATCTTCCTGGGGGTAAGGTACACGACGGAAAGAATTTGCTCCCATAGAGTTACATTTCCTTATTGCAAATCATAAGACTCTTCTCCGCAGTAACTCCACTCTTAGTCATTGTCGAACACGATAATGTGTTTTACATCCACATGGAGTTGACCAGGATTTGTCATGGTCATCGGCATTGTCCAAATGCAATGCATTTCAAACAGCATAAGGTCTTTAAGTAATTTACTGTTAGGTCCGGAATTAAGCAGGATGGGTTTAGGAATTACAGCTTTATAACATGTAGCCTCCCTTTTCTCAAGGGACTTAAGCTAAATGTCCATCCTTAGACTGCAAGAACCAGCCATCAGAGAGATGGCAGGAACATCAGGAGTAGTACAGTTTGGTACATTCTGAGTAAACATAATCACACTGGTGAGCTCTGCAACAGTGGTGGATGACAGAAAGGAGGTTTAGTGAAAACTCTGAGTTTGTTTACCCTGAGATGAGGGAAACTTTGAGTTTTCTGTTTCAAAAAGGGAGGTAACTTAACCTAACTCGGTCGGGAGCAGTTTTTCTTCAATAAACCTGGAGTTTCTCTCAGTCTCCTTCCTCTGACACAGCGCTCTTTCATTTAATTTTTAATTAATTCAGTCTGTATCAGGTGCATTTTAGCGCAGTGTTGTCATCTGCATGAATAACATAGGATTGTTTTATTAACTTACTTAGGTGACATTATAGATTAAAGTTTTTTTCTCGAACATGACATGTCCTTTTGTTACACGATCCTGCAGATGAAGAAACTGTATTACTTGAGTTAAACATACGTTGGGAGATTATATTGAGGAAACCCGACTAGATGTATTTTAATATCCAGATTAGAACCTACCAGACCCAAGCCCTAGTCCCTAACCACTAGGCCACCTTGACTTCCATTGACGATTCTAGACAAAGTATTAAAAAAAGATACATTTTATATATGATTGTGTTCATTTGTCCAATTACTGTCCCAAAACTGAAAGTCTGCACTTCATCTACATCTCGGTTGTTTCATTACAAATCCATTGTGGTGGGGAACAAAAATTATGAAACTTGTGTCAGTGTCTAATTATTCACAGACCTAACTGTATTAAACACAAACAACAATTGATTTATACTGAAAATATGAAAGAGATATTTCCTCCTCTGGAATCCTCCAATGCTAATTTCTGCCTGGCCCGCAGGAGAAGGCGGCAAAATGGACGACGCAGGACGGTCAGATGGACGGACTGACCACTAACGGCGTACTGGTGATGCACCCTCGACACGGCTTCACACAGGACTCCAAGCCGGGAGTGTGGAGGGAGATCTCTGTGTGTGGCGATGTCTTTACCCTCCGAGAGACACGCTCGGCTCAGCAACGGGGCAAAATGGTGGGTAGTGACGGGGTACATTCACTCATGCACACACAAACTGGTGGGGTTCAGACAAACACGGAAACACACACATGTGAAATATTGACTTTTTTTTTTTTACTGCCATTTTCTTATTGGTTTTCTGTTATTTACAATACTGGTTGTCTCAGAGCCATGTATTGCATAATATTTTAGTCTGTATAACACACCACTGGGAGATTAATCTACTGCAATTTCAATTAAAGCTTTTGAAACTCCTCCCTTATGCTTAAGTAATGTTTACATATGCTGGGTCGCCGTTGCAAATGGGAATTTGTTCTCAATTGGCCTACCTGGTTAATTAAAGGTTAAATAAAAAAAGTTAAAATTAACATGCAGTGTGTGTCATATATATATGTGAGTAGTAGAGAGCAGATTGAAAAATGTGCAAAGAGCAGTATGTAGATCAATATGTAATTGTATATACAGTTGTGCAAATAAGAGCAATGTTCAGGATCTTTAGGATGTCCACCAATGTCTCGTACCGGAGCTGATAGTGGCTAGGGGGATTATGGGGGGGTCATGGGGCTAGGGGCAGACTAGTGCAAGAGGCCTGTTCCTTAGACTCACCGCCGTGGGTAGAAGCTGTTCTTGTAACAGGATGTTTTGAACAGGTCCTTAAGAGACTGCAGCTTACATCCTATTATCCGCTCTGCAGAGCAGATGATGCATTGCAGTCTGTCTTTGTCCATGACGGTGGCTGCAGCGTACCAGGCAGTGATGGAGGAGGTGGACTCAATGGTGGCTGTGTGGGCATTAATCATCATGGACGTTGGTAGTTTGTACTTTGACATTAAAGCCATACAGGCGGAACGTTCCCAGTCTCTCTGGCTGTGACATCTGGCAAACAGAATTTCACCTTGTTGTCGTTTAGCTTGAAGAGAAAGGGTTGCAGTGAGCGGCGGTGGAAATGAACAAATTACTTATCGCCGTCACTTAGGATGCACTCTGTAAGATAGTAACAGATTCGGGTTATGGCAAGCTGAAGGCAGATGTTGGCCTTTATAATGTTTGCTGTGCCGTCATAGACTACTGTGCTCACGTTTACTGTTATCCACCACGCATTCAGCACTGACGGTAGTTAATTTATCTGTTATGTTGTCTGCTGTTTGCATCTTCTGTAGGATTTCAGTGGTCAGTACATGGCAGTTATGGTTAGAGTCACGTTACTTCTTATCAGTGTAATGACTGATTGCAGTGATGATTTACTTTCTGTTCACAGACGTCCAACTAGTTGTTTGTGTCTTCTGCCTCGTGTAACATGTTCTAGAAACAGCCAATATGTTTTTTGACATGGCATCTTATTGACTGGTTCTATATATGACACAAATGTTTGAAAACCGACATCCTCAACCATAAACACGGGCTACATATCAACTGCAATAATAATAATAAATAAATAATAATAATAAAACCGACATACTCAACCATAAACACGGGCTACATATCAACTGCTATAATAATAATAAATAAATAATAATAAAAATAATAATAATAAAACCGACATCCTCAACCATAAACACGGGCTACATATCAACTGCTATAATAATAATAAATAAATAATAATAATAAAACCGACATCCTCAACCATAAACACGGGCTACATATCAACTGCTATAATAATAATAAATAAATAATAATAAAAATAATAATAATAAAACCGACATCCTCAACCATAAACACGGGCTACATATCAACTGCTATAATAATAATAAATAAATAATAATAATAAAACCGACATCCTCAACCATAAACACGGGCTACATATCAACTGCTATAATAATAATAAATAAATAATAATAAAAATAATAATAATAAAACCGACATCCTCAACCATAAACACGGGCTACATATCAACTGCTATAATAATAATAAATAAATAATAATAAAAATAATAATAATAAAACCGACATCCTCAACCATAAACACGGGCTACATATCAACTGCTATAATAATAATAAATAAATAATAATAATAAAACCGACATCCTCAACCATAAACACGGGCTACATATCAACTGCTATAATAATAATAAATAAATAATAATAAAAATAATAATAATAAAACCGACATCCTCAACCATAAACACGGCTACATATCAACTGCTATAATAATAAATAAATAATAATAATAAAACCGACATACTCAACCATAAACACGGGCTACATATCAACTGCTATAATAATAATAAATAAATAATAATAAAAATAATAATAATAAAACCGACATCCTCAACCATAAACACGGGCTACATATCAAATGCTATAATAATAATAAATAAATAATAATAAAAATAATAATAATAAAACCGACATCCTCAACCATAAACACGGGCTACATATCAACTGCTATAATAATAATAAATAAATAATAATAAAAATAATAATAATAAAACCGACATCCTCAACCATAAACACGGGCTACATATCAACTGCTATAATAATAATAAATAAATAATAATAATAAAACCGACATCCTCAACCATAAACACGGGCTACATATCAACTGCAATCATTTGTGTAATCATTGCTGTGATATTGTTAGTCAGTACGGCATCACACTTATTTCTTCTGTAGCTGCTCTCTTATGTCTACTGTTTAGGCCCTGTTCTACCTCACAGGTGAAGCGAGAAATGTTGAGTGTGATCCTCTGGGCAATGTTCTGCTGAAAAACCATGGGTCAGGGCATTTCTGTGGTCAATTAAAGATGTTAATTTGATACGTGCTCCAAATATCTTGACATTGTTGCAGACCAGTTACACCCCTTCATAGCAATGGTATTTCCTGATGGTAGTGGCTTCTTATAGCAAGCTAATGTATTGAATACCACTTATAGCAAGATAATGCGCTCCCTCTGTGTGATGTGCTGGACATACAAGTTTGATGCTATCTATTGAACCTTTATTTAACCAATTGAACAGATTCTCATTGGCATCAGCAACCTGGAGAGAAGCTGGGGATTGAACCCAGGACATCATACATACAAAGAATGCACTCTAACACCACTGAGAGAAACTTCTCTAGAATTTGGATGATATAATCAGAATTTGGCAAAAACAACATGAAACCATGGATGCATCCTGTTTGGTTTCAGAAGTGCAGATATGTATCGGGCAGCTGTAGATTGCCCCTTAAATCATTAAACCACAGCTGCGAAAAACCGATGTGAAATGTCATCACTTCGCCAATGATTATCCACTTGTAATAAAAAACACACTGGTTCAGAAAGTGTCTTTAGATTGTGTGATGTGTTCATGTGTACCGGATAGTCATGCAAAGAAAATGTTTAAAGATTGGATTTATAGCGTTATTGATGTATATCACGTGCGTCACAGATAATAACATACCCTGGGAAACCCTGACTCTAGGCTTTCAGTTCCCATCCACTCGTCGCAGACCACACAGTCAGTTTGGCAGGAGGACCTGGACACATTGTGGTCTGCTGGGTCCCAGAGGAATACCCTCCTAACCCTAGCCTCATTTTAAAATAACCAGTTTGAAAGCCATGAAGTATAGCCTGAGACAGGAGTAGGAAAGAAGAGAAAACAGACAAACAACGATTCGTATTAAACAGCGGTTTGCTGTCTTATTTTCTTTTTCCAGGAAATGTGTTTTTTCCCCGTTCATAATTCAAAATCAACATTGTAATTTGCAGTCGTTTGTTGACAGCAGCCAGCAGGTGAGTGGTTACACACCGTAGACATTCACTGCTTTTGGCTGCCCCATTGTATTTCCTCATGTGGTCCCGCAGGCCGGAATTTCTGAAGTAATACATCTGGTTTCCATCTGATGATGCGTTTAGACCGAGGCGCAGGAACATCCTACGTCCAAGAAATACCCCTCACAGGCCTGGGACATGGGATTGAAATGGGAATGAAATGGGAATGAAATGGGAATGAAATGGCGCAGTCTGATAAAACGGAGCGAGTGAGAGAGCGATGGACAATGAATTGTGTCACAACACTCGGGCTGCACCAAAAAGGTTTCTGAGGTCCCGTTGGTCCTGCCAGTACTCATTTCAACACTGTATACCCATCTCACCGAATAAATACGCTCCCAGGGATACCCAATTCAACCCAAGGATATTGAGTGTAGCATGTGTCCAGCGGGTTGCCATTTGCCAAATATGCCGGTCGAAGCTTTTCATTGAGGCAGAATACTGAGCCACTACACGTCAGTACCTGTTGTTCTTCATAGGGAGCACTGTTTTTCTCAGTATTGTTCCTCTTTGCTAGGGTCTAATAATGGTTCTCTGTGCGTCCTGTCCTCCTCTTTTCTTCCCCTGCAGATGGAGAGCGAGAGCCAGGAGCTGGTGGATGGCTCGCTAATTGACCTGTGCGGCGCTACTCTTCTGTGGCGCACGGCCGACGGCCTTTCGCGCACCCCAACTGTCAAGCACCTGGAGGCCCTGCGGCAGGAACTGAATGCTGGGCGTCCCCAGTGCCCCGTGGGCTTCAACACGCTAGCATTCCCAAGCCTCCGCCGCAAGGAGGTGCTGGACGAGAAGCAGCCCTGGGCCTACCTCCGATGCGGCCACGTGCATGGCTACCATGGCTGGGGGGGCCAGGGCCGGGAACCCGAGGACAAGGTGGTGGATCTGGGCGGAGAAAGGGAGTGCCCCATGTGCCGTGCCCGGGGACCCTATGTGCCCCTGTGGCTGGGCTGCGAGGTGGGGTTTTACCTGGATGCCGCGTCGCCAACGCACGCCTTCAGTCCCTGTGGTCACGTGTGCTCTGAGAATACGGCGGCGTTCTGGAGCCAGATCCCGCTACCGCACGGCACGCACACTTTTCATGCTGCCTGTCCGTTCTGTGTGCAGCAGTTGGTTGGTGAGAGTGGCTATGTGAGATTGATTTTCCAAGGGCCGCTGGACTAAATCACCTGTGACGTGCCTCCTCCCGATATGCAGCTGACGCCTTTGAATTACGAGGGCTATGCTCATTAGGGCACTGGGGGCCGGTTTTGTAGAAACGGGTAAACCCTAGTCCTGGAAAAAATAATCTAGCTCAATGTAAATCTTTGTTGAGCTTGGTGTTTTTGCAACTGGCCCTCAATGTTTTGCAATGTTGTGCAACAGATCATGAAAGGAGAGTAGTTCATAGCTGTTTTCAACCTTATTTTTTTATTCGGTGGCTAATGTACACCACCTACTGTCATACTACTGCCGAGAGACATTTTTACTTTAATATTTCAGAGAGCTTTGTAATACCTTTTTGCTTCTCTCGTTTCAAATGACCTTTACTTTCGGAGTGCATTTTCCAGTATATTTATATTTTTATGTTAACAATGACAGAAGTGCTACGATACTAACCAACACAGAGGTTTGTCAGGGAAAAAATATTGTGTGTGTGTGCGCGCGCGTGCCTGTGTGTGTGCGTGGGACTTCATAGCGTTGTGTATAAAAAAATTGGAAGGCATTGTTTTTTTGTGTCAGACCAGAAATTAACAATTTGGTAACAGCAATTTTTTTGCCCCACAATGGCCCATTTTATATCTAAAAGCCAATATTATTAAAAAATATATATATGTTTCTTAATGCTTTATTAGAAAGTATAGCAGTAGGCTGAATCCAAACCCACGTGGTGGAACAGAGGCAGCAGACTAATCCACTGGACCAGCCAAGTATACAAGGCGCCCATTGTAAACAAAAATGTTTCACAAAATATAACAAACAAAGCAAGAAAATGGCAGGAAATGGCATTAAACTATGCTAAATATAGATCCCAATATGTCCAAAATGACTGATGAGCAGTAAGCTCTGTAATGCTAGCTACGATTTTGGAAGTGACTTTTTCTTAGATGTGAAGACACAGTAGTGAAGCAGTAGAAACATATCACTTGCCTTCTTTTTATCTGTCAGCCCCTTGTACAAGGACCGGAGAAACTTAATCTATAAATTAACTGGTGGAAATATGTTTACAATGACGTTTATCTAAATGTATACTATTCAGGAAAGCAGTTGATCCAGTTATGAGTAGAATCTCAATGGAAACTTAAACACACACTTTGTATATGTTATTATTATTTTGTCATATGTAACTTTAGTCATTTTGTATATAGTATTTATGTTCATGTGTCTATGTATTTAAAATGTATTTCTTAAATCTACACAACTTTTGTACCTAGTTTCGGCTAATGTGTGAGAGCTTTTTTTGGCAAGTTGATATTCATGATGTGTGAAAGCAGATCTGAGCTGCTCCATGTTCAATTTGTTTGTCAGTGTCAGTTTTATATCCCCCAGAGAGCCTGACTTTATACAGGATGTTGTGTACTATTTACAGAAAAAAATAAGTGCAAAATGTTTTTTACCAAATGCAAAAAATAAAATTTTAACACTTTAACATTGTTCACTATTGTATTAGTGTTCAAATCTGCACTGGATGGAACTTGATTTAGCGAGAAAATTAAGTTTTGGCCTTTTACACACATGTAAATGCTGCGCTTTCACATGTCTTTGCCAGTTGTACTAACTAGGTTGAGACATTTTAGCAGTAACAAGATTGACATTAGTAAAATGATAGGATATGGCAAATGTTATTCTCAGTGATAAAAAAATGTTTATATTAATGGTTTTCATAACCATTTTCACATAACTTATAATTATTATAATTATAGTTTTTAAATAAGATCCAAAACTGTTCGGAAGAGTCGGAACAGTCTAAAAATTAAACAACGTATGTACAAGGTAAAACAAACAAGACATGAATATGAGGCAAGTATTTTTCTTTAACCTCAAACAGCTTATTCTTTTCCACAATCATGTAACATTAAACATCATAAAACCTTTAAAAACAGCAAATTAGATAATACCTTATTGTTTGTCCTGTTTTCTTATTGTTTGTCCTGAGTTTGATGTTACCATTCAAATAGCTGATTCATTTTATTAAATTCAACAAATACTAAAAGTATTTATGCCATTGATCTACTCAAGACTCGCTCAGTCTTTTGCCCATATACCAATTTGAATTTCCATCTGACCCTCAATACCCAGTTGAGATGGAGCTGGGATTAATCTGATCTGTCAACAAATAGGGAACAAATCACGTTTTCCTGAGCTAGCCCGAAATTAATCTGTTGTTTCCAATCCGATGCATACATCTGACCTGTGCATATCCCTTTAAGCTCCCCGTAGTGATACATTATATGCTTTATGTGACTAATTAAAGATACATTATGTGACAACTTTAAGTGCATATTAACTACAATGCAACTGAAGTGTGTTTTTAATTAAAAGGGCAATATTTAAGGTTTTTACTGTACTTCTTGCATGAAATAACTGAATAATTATCAGGAAACATCAACAGTTAATGTTGTATGTTAATATTTCAAATAATATTATTCTACAAACTTAAGTGACTGACATGTCATTTAAACGTTCTCACCGGTTCGTCCATCAGTTTGTATTGACCTGTAATCCGTTATACTTAATAGACTTGAAGTACTATCCCCATTTTTTCCATCCTATACCACCCTGGACTAGCTAGATTTATGCTGATTTATTTATTGGTAATAAAATAATAATTAATAAATTATTAAAATGATATAGCGCTTTTTCTGGGACCTCAAAGAGCTCTACATGGAAGGGGAATGTCATCAACCACCTGGATGATGCAACAGCAGCCATACAGCTTACTGGTGGAGAAGAGACAAAGCCAATTAGTATATATATCGGGATGATTAGGAGGCCATGATGGACAGAGGACAAGGGGCAGATTTGGCCAGGATGACGGGGATACACCCTTACTCTTTATCGAAGGACATCTAATGACCACAGAGAGTCAAGACCTCGGTTTAAAGTCTCATCCGAAGGACGATGCTTTTTGACAGCATAGTGTCCCCGTCACTATACTGGGGCGTTAGGACCCACACAGACCAGAGTGCAGCCCCTTCTGGCCTCACTAACAACTCATCCAGCAGCAGTTTTTACCTGGAGGTCTCCCATCCAGGTACTGACCAGTGGCCAAGGGAAGACAAGGAGATGACAAGTAGTTATTGTTTAGAGGCAGGATTCTACACTGTGCC